AAGCGGTCCGGGTGGTCAGAGGGGACTACAAGGCGTTGATGGGAGAAAGAGAAAGAGCAAGGGAGAGCAATACAGCGAGCAGCGCTATGTGCCGATCAAGTCCTGCGGCCTGCCTGTGCCGTCTTCTTGCCGGCTACAAGCGGTGGCGGAGACGGCCTGCGTGGCGCTGGCGGTGGCCGGCGCGGCGGTGGCGGCCCCTTCTTTTCGGACCCTTCACCCGTCGCAGCCTTCGATTTTGTCATGCCTGGGGGCTTCAGGCGCCTGCACAGAAGGGGCAGAAGGGGAGCGAGCGGGTGGGCAGCCGTGAGCGCAGCGGCTGACACACCGGTACCGCTGGTGCAGCCCGGCTGCTGCAAGTGGCATGATCATCAGCATGCCGCAGCGCGCTGCATGCACCGAGGAGTGCCCTGTTCCAACGTGCCTGGAAGGGAGGGGGTGGTGAAGGCGGCCAGGGAGAGGGTGGCGGCGGAGGCTTGCTGCCACCGCCTCCCGTCAACCGGCTGCCACCGCCGCTCGGCAAGCTGCTCCCTCCGCCGCCAGGCAGCATGCCGCCGCTGCCGCCGCCACCGCCGCCGCCACCGCTGGAAGTGACCGTCAGGCACGCCGGCCCTGGCTCTGTGGCGACGGCTGGGAAGCAAAACAGGGATGGGCCGGTATGCGCCTGGGGCCGCTCGGCTGCAGGCAAAGCGGGGGCCCAAGGTGGCAACCAAGCGGCGGTGGTGGTGGAGGTGGAGGCGCATTGCCTGCACAGCTCGGCAGGTTCAGCCCGCTGCTGCTCCACTGGACCTTGAGGGCAGTTGCCACGGAGCGGACAGCCGCCGGCTGCTCAAATCCAGCCAGGACATCCCCTGCACGCTGCCAGCCAGCTCACCTGTGCCAGAGTACCACTCCCGCTGCTCGAATGTGACTTCCTGGATCGAGGCGGGGCGCGTGCCGGCGGCGGCGGGCCCAAACAGGCGGCAGGCGCCGTCGCGCAGGCGGAAGCTCCAGCGCTTGCAGGGCACTGGGACGCCGCCGCCGGCGGCGTACTGCAGGCGACCAGGCAGCCAGAAACCACAGCTGGGTTGTGGGCAGGTGCATGCAAGACCAGGACGCCTGACAGTCAAGGGGGCCTGTGCCTGGCTCCTCCCGCCAGCGGCAGCGGCAGCAGCAGCAGCGCTGAGCAGCACCAGCCCCGCAAAGCAGCCCCTCACCGCGGCCTCGTTCTGGGCATGGCACAGCTTGCATCAGGCGCAGGTGGAGAGGTGGTCCCGCAGCAGCGGCCAGGCGGCGCTGCCGGGCCCGTCGGCTGCCGCCAGCGCCGCCCATTCTACGCCGTAGTAGGCGAGCTGGGCGGCGCCGTAATCCAGCTCCGCTGGCGCCAGCGAGGCGTCGCCAGCGGGCTGCGTGGGGGAAGGCGGGCAGGCAAGAGTGTCTCTGCGCCAGCCTGGCATGGGTGCATGACGCAAGAAGGATAGCCAGCGTAGCCTTGCTGGCAGAGCTGATCGTCCCGCACGCAGGCGGGGTGGCTCAAGGGGAGCCTCTGCCCGAGGCGGCATTCAGCACAGGGGCCCCAGTCGGCTCCCCGGCGGCACGGCCTTAGCAGCCCATTGGCTCGATACCAAGGGCAGATTTTCTCACCTGCTCCACGTACAGACCAGCTCCCTGGTTGTAGCAGACTGGGCGCGCCGCTGGGGGTGGAGGCGCCGCCACCAGGGCAGCGGCGGGCACTGCAGGCGGGGGGCGGGGGGCAGAGCGCTGGTTTAGCCGGGCACCAGGTTTTGCCTCTTCTGGCCGGCGACATCGATGCCTGGCCACTCCTGCTGCTGTTCGACGGATCCAGAAGGGTCTGGCAGGGCTGGGGCGGCACAGATGGCCGCGGTAGAGCAAATGGCGTGCCCCTGCTGCCAGAAGAGGGCGGTCCGAAGGCCTCCAGAACGCTCCAGAACCATCTGTCGGAAAGCATGCTTGCCTGTATGGAGCGCAGCGAGGAGCAATGCCGCGAGCGAACCCCACATGGGCTCTGAATGGATCCCCCCGGGCGCCCCCCAGCTGCAGTTTGCCGGTCCTTTTGCCCCAGCGCCCCGGTACTGAATGGTATGATCGGTAGCCTGGTCATCAACGGCGCGGAGAGCTTGGGCAACGAAATAGGGAGGCACACTGGTGCCTGCTGACCTGGCGGCGAGCGGACACATTTGATCTTTGGTGGACGGAGCTGCAGAATTCGCTACGAATCGTCACTGTTGCTTGTTAGCAGACTAAAGGAGGTCTGTAAGGGCGGCACCAGCCGGAGATTGCAGGACCCATCCCGGTGGGCATGACGAGCCGCCACCGCCGCTGCGGCAGCGCCGCACAGCGACTGGCGTAACGCAACCGCAGTCGGTGCGCCGCATAACAGCAACGAGGTCAGGCATGATTCTGTTCACAAAACCGTGCACGGAGGTGACTCGTGGCATGCCAGTGCGGCTGGCATTGCTCCCCAAGCCCAAATGTTTGACCCGGAGCGGCAGCCGCAAAGGAATCGCCACGGCGGCATTGCCCAAATGTGAACAACGGGACGAATTAGGTACTCAGACAGGACTTACGTCTGGAGCAGCTAATGGTTTGGGTGCGTATTAGCACAAGTGTAAGTCCTCACAGTTTTTGAACAGCCACACGGGCGCTGCCATCTGTGCTTGCCGTCGCGCAGATGGGGAGCCCCAAAGTAGAGGGGCGGTCCTCTGTGGCATGTTTGTGGCAGCCTGGATAGAATCACAGCCCTCCGCCCTCCGGTTAGACGGTGTTTGCCGTTTCAAGCGCTGTGCCCCCTCATTTTGCGCAGCGCACGCAGCATGGGCAAGCCCGTCCCGTTCCTCCTTCACTCGATGCCCTCGTTCACGTGTGCATACCGTCTCCTGCAGTTATGGTGGGCTCTTCTGCGCACCGCGCTGTGGCGTTGCGGCTCCTGAGCACTTTGGTGGCTGCCATTGCTGTCGATGCAGCCGCCAGCGGCACGCGCAAGCTGCTCCAATCTTCGACCACGATCAGGGGTGAGCTATGCGCGGTGGCTCCCCAGGGCTGCCAGGGCTTGGACCATGCCCTGGTCGCCTCACTGCCGTTCGGCCCCCTCAACCCTCCGGCCCTCCCTACGCGCAGGCAGGGCCATCGTGGTCCACCAGGAGTTTGTGGGTGGCGTTTCCGGGAAGTGAGTATTGAATTTCAAGCCTCGCAGGCTTCGTCTCGCCACGTCTCGTGGCAGATTCTCGCTGGCTCCGCCGCCCCTCAGCCGCCGCTGGGTGCAAGGGCCCCATCGACACCCGACACCACCTCCGCAACCCTGTCGCGCCAACCCCTGCAGGTTCCTCGCCCTGCGCACCGACAACGGAGTGAACGTGCAGCTGGCCAATGCGGTGGTGGACGACGCCTCGACGGGACAGATGGCGGAGGTGAGCGCTGACCGTCTCCCGCTTTGCTCTGCCAGTCCGGGGTGTTGGATTGACTGCAGCTCACGCCCCTGGGGCGCCCCCGCCTGCAAGCGCCTTCCACGCTAGCAGCAGCCAGGCTGCGGCCTGAGCTGCGCAGCGCTGGCCCGCCGCCGTTGCGGCCGTTTGCGCTGGGAGCTGCTCAACGCCGCCTCTCCGCCGCCGCCTGCCCGCAGGCCACCGGCACCTGGTGCCAGCAGAACAACGGCCAGGGCAACGCGTTTGGGAAGTTCAAAACCGAATCCACGACCGTGTCTGGCAACCCCAAGACGGACACAGGTGTGTGGGCTGTGCCTGGCTGGCGGTGGACAGCTTGCCAGATGAGGCGACGCTGAAGAAGTGCGGCGGCGGAGCAGCCGCTGCAGCAGCGCCATACCCCCAGCCTGAAGGCCATCCCTCCCGGCGCCTCGGCCTGTCGCGCCGAGCCCATGCCCTCACGCCCCCTCCCTCCTCCGCCCACTCCCCCTGCCTGCCACCCACGCAGTGACCACCACCGCCTATGCCGAGCCTCCCGAGCTGGCGGACGTGACGGTGGGCACCTCCTCCGGCGCCACCGCCACCTCCGCCACCCTGCGCGACGCCACCCTGAACGTCACTGCCTTCTCGGGGGCCATGGTGACCAGCCCGCTGTTCCAGCCCGTCGTGTCCACCCTGTTCGTGCTGAGTGATTGGCGAGCGGCAGGAGGCGTTGGCGCCACGCGCTGCCGGCCGCCTGCATGCGCGCCTGCCTGCCTGCCTGCCTGCCTGCCTGCCTGCCTGCCTGCCTGCCAGCTGCCGACTGCGTGCCTTGCCACCCCGCGCCGCCCAGCCAGCCTCAAGTCCAGCGGC